GGTCCTGGGGTGACTGAGGGCAGGGGAGACATTGGCTTAGAGGGCAAGAGTTAGATAAAGTCGGAAGATGGAGATAAGGGCTTTGGAGTTTGCACACAAAAGGCAGGCTCCCAGGGAGTCATCTGCTGTCTGTATAGGAACTAGCGAGCTCTGGGAGGATCAGTCTCTCCCTGGCCAGCAAGGTCCCCAAGATGTCAAAGCATCATAAAATATAGAAAATAAAAATCATGTTTAATGCACAGGGGTGCGCGGAGACAGTGGAGTAGAGTCTGTCGGAAGAATAGATCCCAGTCCTGGGCTAAACCCTCGGGCAACTCGATTTACATGCCTGAAAGTCTGTTTCCTTATCTGTAAAATCGACAACTGTTATTTATTCATTCAACATATAACCGTTTAAAGGGACAGACTCTGGGCCAGCAGGTTTACCAAGGTCATTGGTGGGTTTAAGGAGACAGAAGATGGTGCCGGCACATCGGAGGTGCCCAGTGAGTGGTGGCTGGCTACTGTCCCCTGCTGCAGCTCCAGGATGCCGCAGAGAAAGATTGGTGTGGAAGAGTTGGCTCCAGGGCCATTTCCTGGGCTGTTTAGAGCCCTCAGGGCGGAGGCTGTGGGTGGACAGAACCCTCAGGAATGTTCTTGGAACTCAGAGGAGCTGCCGGACAAAGGATGGCACAGGGGCCAGCCCAGCAGCCAGGAGCCTCGGGGAATCTGACGTGTGTCCGGAAGCTAGGCCTTGAGAGGTGCCCGGGGCTCGGGCAGAGTATTAGCACAAGTGACCCCGAACTCAGGGACGTGGAGATGGCAGGACATGGAAGGGGAAATCCCGGCAGACCACAGGCCAGCCGGGCAGCTGTGGACAGACACGGACTCGGGATCCTAGGAGCACAAGGAAGCAGGCAGTTGCCGGTGAGAAACCACTGGGAGGCCAATTTGGAATTAGGCCGCTGGACCGAGATGCATGGAATTTCCTCTGCCTTCTGGCTATGATGGTTTTTGGACTCGAGGCCAGTGATGGGTGTGTTTGCCGAAGACAGCTTCTGAGAAGGGAAGCCAGGGCTCTGCCCATGAGGTAGAGCATGAGGAGAAACACAGCCCCCTGGATTCAAAGAATTCATCTCTCGGGGAAGAGAGGCTGTGTGGTGCAGTGAGGGGCGCACAGGCCTGGGTTTGGATCCTGCCTCCACTTCTTACTGGCTGATCAGTAAGTCAGTGACCTCTGGCTGGTTCCTTGAGCTCTCTGAGCCTCAACTTTCCCACTGGCAAAATGGGCAGAATGACACGTACCCTGCAGAGCTGTCATGAGCACCCGGGGCCAACTTATTCTTCAGGTAGACACAGTGCCTGGGGCCCAGGAAACTATTCTAATTTTAAATTCTTCTAAATCAGGAAGAAAAAATAAATATAATAATAATGAACACATAACAATGAATCCAGCCTGGATTGTATTTGTCTTTATACTAATGCCGTTGTCAAATACTTGCTTACTGCAGGGACGTAGCAGGATTGGGTCCAGACCACCACAACAAAGCAAATACCTCAATAAATCAAGTCACATGAATTTTTTGGTTTCCCAGTGTATATAAAAGTTATGCTTACACTATAGTGCAGTCTATTAAGCGTGCAATAGCATTATGTCTAAAAAATAATGTACATACCTTAATTAAAAATATTGCTAAAAAGTGCTAAGATCATCTGAGCCTTCAGTGAATTACAGTCTTTTTGCTGGTAGAGGGTCTTGCCTCGAGGTCGATGGCTGCTGACTGATCAGGGTGTTGGTGGTGGTTGAAGGTTGGGGTGGCTGTGGCAGTTTCTTAAAATAAGACAACAATGAAGTTTGCCTCATTGATTGACTCTTCCTTTCATGAAAGGTTTCTCTGTGGCATGCAATGCTGTTTGATAGCATTTTACCCACAGCAGAACTGCTTTCAGAATTGGAGTCTTTCCTTCCAACCTCGCCTCTGCTTCATCAGCTAAGTTTATGTAATATTCTAAATCTTTTCTTGCCATTTCAGCAGTGTTCACAGCATCTTCATCAGGAGTAGATTCCATCTCAAGAAAACACTCTGCTTATCCATAACAAGCGACTCTTCATCTGTTAGAGTTTTATCATTGAGATTGCAGCAGTTCAGTTACCTCTTAAGGCTCTACTAATTCTAGTTTTCTTGCTTTTTCCACCACATCTGCAATTACTTCTTCCACAGAAATCTTGAATGCTTCCATCCATGAGGTTGGAATCAACTTCTTCCAAACTCCTGTTAATGTTGATATTTTGACCTACTCCCATGAATCATGAATGTTGTTAGTGGCATCTAGAATGGTGAATCCTTTCCAGAAGGTTTTCAATTTAATTTATCCAGATCCATCACAGGAATCACTCTCTATGGCAGCAATAACCTTCTGAAATGTATTTATTAAATAATAAAACTTGAAAATTGAAACTACTCCCTGATCCAGGGGCTGCAGAATGGATGTTGTTTTAGCAACATGAAAACAATGTTAATCTCCTTGCACACCTCAGTCAGAGCTCTTGGGTGACCAGGCCAATGAGCAGTGAACACATAAAACAAACCCTTGAACAACAAAGGTTTGGATTCCGTTTTCTCCACTGTGGGCTGGAGTTGAAGACAGTGTAGGATAAGGGCCAGAGCCCAACGTTTAGAGCTAGGACCTGAGGTCTAATCCTACTCCTGCAGTTGATGTGCTGTGTGACTTAGGGAAAGTGCCCTAGCCTTTCTGGGCCTTAATTTTCTGGTAGATAAATGAAGGGTCTTTATGGTCTCTTCCACCTCAAACCCCATCAGCCTGTGGTGTTGCTTTCATAACCTCCTGGCCTCCCTCACCTGTCTGAGCCTGTCTGGATACGGGACTCTGAGCTGGGATGCCCCAGTGAAAAGGGCCTGCCCACCACCCCCTCCTGCAGAACTTACCAGCAAGGAGCCACCCTGCCTACCACCTGACCCTGATGGGAGAAGGGAGAAGCCTGGGCTGGTGTCTCTTCATTTTACAGCACAGTAGAGTGGTTTAGCATAATTCTTGAGGGCCCTAGGATTTTCAGAACAATAAATGAGCATTGGCTTCAACTTAAAGTCACCAGCTATGCTAGCCCCTAACAAGAGAGTCAGCCTGTCCTTTGAAACTTTGAAGCCAGGCACTGACTTCTCCTCTCTAGCTATGAAAGCCCTAGATGGCGTCTTCTTCCAATATAAGACTGTTTAGTCTACATTAAACATCTGTTGTTAGTGTCACCACCCTCATCAGTGATCTCAGCTAATCTTCTGGATCACTTGCTGCAGCTTCTACGTCAGCATCTGCTGCTTCTACTTGAACTTTGACGTTGTAGAGATGGCTTCTTTCCTTAACCTTCATGAACCAACCTCTGCCAGCTTCAAACTTTTCTTCTGCAGCTTCCTCACCTCTCTCAGCCTTCACAGAATTGAAGACAGTTAGGGCCGCTCGGGATTAGGCTTTGGCTTAAGGGAATATTGTGGCTGGTTTGATCTTCTGTCCAGACCACTGAAACTTTCTCCATGTCAGCAGTAAAGCTGTTTCCCTTTCTTCTCATTCATGTGTACACTGGAGTCGCACTTTTAATTTCCTGCAAGGACTTTTCCTTTCCATTCACAACGTGGCAACTGGCACAAGAGGCCTAGCTTTCGGCGTGTCTCAGCTTTCAACACGACTTCCTCACTACGCTTCATCATTTCTAGCTTTTAATTTAAAGTGAGGGATGTGCAATTCTTTCGTTCACTTGAATACTGAGAGGCCATTATAGGGTTATTAATTGGTGTAATTTCAATATTGTTGTGTGTCAAGGAATAGGGAGGCCCAAGGAGGGGGAGAGAAATGCAGGAATGGCTGGTCGGTGGAGCAGTCAGAACACACACATTTATGGGTTAAGTTTGCTGTCTTATATGGGCACAGTTCATGGCGCGCCAAAACAATTACAATAGTAACATCAAAGATTGCTGAGCACAGAGCACCATAACAGATATAATAATAATGAAAAAGTTTGAAATATTGCAAGGATTAACAAAATGTGACACAAGGACACAAAGAGAGCACATGCTGTTGGAAAAATGGAGCTGACAGACTTGCTCAATGCTAGGTTGCCACAGACAGTTTGTAAAAACAGACTTGCTCAATGCTAGGTTGCCACAGACAGTTTGTAAAAATCACAATATCTGCGAAACGCCACGAAGCAAAGCACAGTAACGTGAGGCATGACTGTATAATTGTTCATATACGTATATTTTATTTTAAGTTTTGAGAAAGGGGCCTACGAAGGCAAAAGTGTTTTGAGTCCATCAAAGCCATAAGGAGGCCCCGAAAACCTCTGGCACTTCGTGGGCGCTCGAGCTTCATTCCTGAGCACGCGTCTGGGCCGGGCACAGTTCTCAGTGTTGGGACAGAGGGTAAACCCACCCAGATTCTACCCTCCAAGAAGCCTTCCTGGAAAACAGGCAACGACAGCACATGCAATAGAAGCAGCATGAGACCAAGGGACATCAGCCTCCCTCTGCCGTCCCACCCCGGCGCCAGTCACCCTCTTTGTCCAGAATTCTTTCCTCCCTGCCAGGTTCTTACATGTTCATCAAGGGCCATGTGTAGGTTACACCGATTCCAGCTCTTCAACTTATGCCACCAAATCTACATTTAAAAATCCCACCTATTTCTCTTGTTCCTTTTACCCATTTTCTGCCAAGGGGTTAGTGTGTCTGGGGCACTTGTGGCTACGTGCACTGGTGGGGGGGAGTTCTCTCCCATTGCTGGTGAGGACAATATCCCCCCAAAGGCTTCCATTAATGTCCCTCTGCCTCTAGGGACTCCATGGGTCAACTCCTGGAGGTTTTTGCCTTGTCTTTCCTGGCTGGGATCACCCTTAATTGCCCAACATGAGGGGCAGCAGGGCATGGTGGGGAGTGGGTGGCGTCTGAATGGGCCCTGGGGGCATTGCTGATGGACATGTCAGGAGATGTCTTTTCTTTTCCAGAACCCCAGAGATGAAGGGCCTCCTCACACTGGCTTGGTTCCTGGCTTATAGTAAGTGCTGGCCTCTCAACCTCTGTATGCCCTCTTCCACCCTGTGGGAGTAACAGGATAGTGGACAGTAGACCGATCTCTGAGGTCACAGAGACTTGCGTCTGAATCTCGGTTCTGCATTTACTGCATAGGTGTCTGCAGAGCCCTGGTCTCTATGAGCCTCTACTTCCTCCTGTGTGACATAGGGACTGTGGCAGGGCTCCAGGGGATGTCATATGTCAGCTGAAAGGTTGTGGACATAGCCGATATGTGGCTGGCAAATGTGGGAGGTGGATTTTTTTCTTCCATGCAAAAAAATGTAAAATAAGGCCAAACAAAACAAAGAGATTTTAGAAAAAGAAAATAGACTCTTGTAAATATTCCAGCCTGGGATTCCTGAGTCATTCTCTGCTCAGGCCTGTCCAGGCCTTCCGTACATCCCACCCCCAGCTGGAAAGTGACTGTACAGCCAGCTCTAACCACCCCATCCCCCAGGAATCTGTAATCACGTACATGACCCCCCTACAGGCTCTCTTGCTCTTTGATGTCTTGCCAGATCCCTAGAGACTCCAGGAGAAATGGGAGGTTCAGAGCAGGGAGAAAGCCTTGGGCCCACCATGAGACCCTGGACAGGGCATCTTTCCCCTCCAAGCCTCAGTTTCCCAAGTTGTAAGATGAGGGATCTGCCTACATGATTTCTAAGGGTCCCATCCTACTTTAAGATTCTATGCCTTATGTTTTAAAGGTGTTAGGTGAGGGGGGCTGGTGTATTGCCAGGAGAGACAAGCAGCTCCTGTCTGCCTGCTTCACACAGATCCCATATGAATTATACCTAATATGTCTTGGTCCCTTATTAGTTGTCTGCCACTGTGCTCATAAAGTTTACATAATTTATCTGATTTTAACCCTCATGACAACTCCAAGACATAGGTGTTAATTTCAGGCCCCCATTTTCCAGATGAGGAAACTGAGGCTCTGAGAGATTAAGTGGCCCATTCAACACTATACTTCAAATTAGTGGCAGAGCCAGGATTTGATCCCAGGTCTGCTCCTTTTCCAAGTTCAGACTCAAGCACTTCTCTATACTGCTTGTCCTCACCTTCCTTGTTTCCTTCGCACTAACTGGGAGAATAAGAGAGCTCCAGGCTGGGAGAAAGCTCAAGATGCTGGGAAGTGGGCCTGGGGCAGGGGTGCTGGGTGTTATCTGCGGGCATGGGATGTCTTTCAGGTGTGCCTGCTGTGCCAGGGAGCTTGCTAGAGCTGAAGTCAATGATTGAGGAGGTGACTGGAAAGGATGCCCTGAAGAACTATGGCTTTTATGGCTGTTACTGTGGCTGGGGTGGCCAGGGAACCCCCAAGGATGGCACCGATTGGTGAGCTGATGATCATAACTGTCCTCTATGCGCCAGGCTCTGCACCCACATTATCTCATTCATACATGTCAATTTTGGAAGATGAGCATTACAGCACTGCTTTATAGATGAGAAAACTGAGGCTCAAAGAAGCTCACTTGTTTCCCAAGACACATCGGGGAACTCCCAAGGTCTCAGTGGACTCATGTGTCAGGTGGTCCTTTGCAGCATGATAAATGGTCCTGACATAGTGGCTTAAAACAGTGATGATTATTTATTTTGCCTATGAATCTGCCATCTGGGTAGGGCTTGGTGAGATGGTTGATCTCTGCTCTCCCCAGCTTTGGCTTGGGCAGTTTGACTGAGGCTCACTCCTATGGCAAGTTGCCGCTGTCTCCTTCTTGGGATCTCAGCTGAAGCTGTGGACTGGGGTCCTCAGTTCCTCTCACTTAGGCCTCCCCAAGGATGTTTGGACTTCCTCCCAGCATGGCCACTCTTGGGTTCCAAGAGTGAGTGTTTCCAAACTGCAAGACAAAAGAGAAGGCATTTTTATGATCAGCCTCAGAAATTTCATGGTGTCACTTACACTGTCCTCTTGGTGGAGGCAGTCACAAAGGCTTTAAGAGGGAGGGGACCTAGATTCCACCTCTTGATTGGGAAGTGCCAAAGTTCTAGAAGAACATGTGAGATGGGAGATATTGTTCTTTGGAAAATGCAGCCTGCTGGGTTAACTATTCTGATGCTGCTGGACATGAATAACAGAAGGGGACAATTAAGCAAGTGGAATGCAGATGGATGGAACCAAGTTTGTCACTGTTGGGAGTTTACAAATGTACAAGGGCAGGCAGCTAGAATGATCCATGTAAGAATGGATTAGAGTTGGAGAAATCCCTATGAACTCCTGTTTGGCTTAATATAGGTGCAGATGCTGACATAAAGAAATGTGTATAGATATGTGTTTATACACAGGTTAGTATAAACACGTATTTTTTGCTCTATCAGGGGAGAGAGTCTAAAAGTAACAATAGCCTGGTAGCAACAAGCACACCTACTGCCCAGACCTAGTTTCTAATACCATGTTCCAATCAAAGGAACCAAGGCTCCTTGAAGAAATGGCTGATTACTAGACCAGGGCAGTGTATACACAAGCTCAGCCTGGAGCTTCTTGTAGTGCCAAAAAGTAAGGAAGTGCTCAGACAAAGCCCCACATTGACAGGGATATGTCACTGGAGCACATGAGTCCACTGAAAAAGTTCCCAGTGGCCAACGCTGGGACAATCTGAGCAACATAATTACCCCAGTCTTATTGTGAGGAAAAAAAATCAGACAAATCCCAATAGTGGGGCATTTTACAAAATAGCTGAGCAGTACTCCTCAAAACTGTCAAGGTCATCAGAAATGAACAAAGCATGAGAAACTACCACAGCCAAGATGAGCCTTAAGAGACAAGATGGCTAAATGTAATCTGCTGACCCAGATGGGATCCTGGAACAGAAAAAGGACAACAGGTAAAATCTAAGAAGATCTAAATAAACTGTGGATTTGTTACAATTAAAAAACCAATATTATTATTATTTAGTTAATTCATTAATAATTGGTGTGTCATTAATAATATATTGATATTGGTTCATTAATTGTAACAAATGTAACAAATAATAATATAAGGTGGTAATAGTTGGGGAAACGGGGTGTTTCCTCGGTAAAATCTTCTCATATTTTGTAAATCAAAAAAAAAATGTTTAATGCAATCTGGCACACCTAATATACCAGAAGTTTATTTCTTGCTCACATAACAGTTTGATGTGAATTGCATGTTGATTCAGGGACCCAGGTTCCTCCTATCTTGTGGCTCTGCCATCCCCTATGGCCTCAGAGTCCTCTGCCTGGTCATCTCCATCCAGCTGAAAGATGGAGAAAGAGAGAAACTGTAGGATAGTGTGGCGGTTTTCATGGGTAGGTCTGGAAGTGGTACACATCACTTCCGCCCGCATCCCCTGGGCCAGAACCTAGTCATATGGCCACACCTGCCTGCAAGGGAGGCTGGGAAATGTAGTCTAGTCATGGGCCCAGGTGGAAACCTTGGCTCAGTGAACTGCTATCCAGCAGTGGCCCCAGCAGAAGAGCAGGTAGGTACTTGGCCATATTACCAGATTGTCTGCTAGACCACACCCACAAAGGTGGTTTCTGCTGATGTGGCATGGTTGAATTTTTACTCCTATTAGGGAAAAGAGGGTCAAGAGGACACCCCTCCTACTCAGGATCTAAGTCTCTTGCATTGACAGGTGCTGCTGGATGCATGACCACTGTTACGAGCACCTGGAGGAGAAAGGCTGTGACATCCGGACACAGTCATACAAATACAGATTTTCAAAGGGAATGGTCACTTGCGGTAAGGCTGGGGCTTCCCATTTAGGCTATTGGATAGAGTCTGGATCCACCTGGCACTGCATTCAGCTGCCCTAGAAGTCAGCCGTCCTGTATGATGGGGTGGGGAGGGAAGATCTGGGACGAGAGGAGCAGGATCCTCTAGGGAAGGGCTGGAACATCTCAGACTGAGCATTCACTATGTACCAAATGCTTTGCATACCTCCTTTTAGATGATCCCCCAAATACCCTATGGAGTAGGTTTAGTCTCATTTGACACATGAAAAAATGGAAGAACAACAGCTTGCCAGTGCATATGGCAGGATTCAAGCTCAAGTCCATCTGAATTTAAAGCTAAGTCTCCTCTGTGAGAATTAGGTTTCCTCCAGAGCAGGGGCTATCTCCACCATCAGACTAGGAGCTTCCAAGAGGAGTGAGTGAGTTTCCTTCACCAGGCTGGGAGCTCTGTGAAGGCAGGAGCTGGTCTCCCTGGACTGAAAGCTCACCCCAGGCAGCAGCTGTGTCTCTTCCATCAGATCATGTGTCTCCTGCCTCCCCCAGGCCCCAGTTTAGGAGCTATGTGCCCTTCATCAGACAGCTTCTGTGCAGCAGGAAGCAGATGGAGGTGCCTGGCCAGACTAGGACATGTCCTCAGACAGCACAGTCAGTAGGGTGTCCCCTTCCCTCCCTCATTCTGCACTTGGTATGCTGTTGCAGAGTTTGGGCACTTCTGCCAGATGCAGCTCTGTGCCTGTGACCGGAAGCTTGTCTACTGCCTGAAGAGAAACCTGTGGAGCTATAATCGTCATTACCGATACTTTCCCAACATCTTCTGCTTCTGACCTCATCCTTCCTGGATGGTCCACTGGGCTTGGAGGAGCACCAGGGCCACACTTCACCCTCTGGAAAGTCCCAAGAGTGTGACTCTGGTCATAGGAATGGGAAGGTCCCAGGGGCACAGGGCTGTCACTTCTGAGGTTCCCTTCCTCTGTGTTGGCAGCTGTCCCCTAACCCTGGGCCAGCCATGTCTCTCCTCTCTGAAGACAGCATCCCATCTCAGTTGGAAGACTTTCCTGGGATACACTTACTTTCCATTTCTGCAATCAGATCATTTCACCTCCCTTCCCACCCCCGAGAATTTTTACTCAAGTAGAAGCAAAATTGACTCTATTAATCTGCCATATAGATATTAAATAAAATTCGTTCTCAAAGCTAATGAAAACCACATTTTCCTCTGTGTGGGTGATTGCTCTTTCTCTGCTACTGGGGCACTAAACCCAAAGAAACAGAAGAGAAGATTAGTAAACAGAAGGTTTTCCAGATGAGCTCCAAGCCTTCTCTTGGGCTCACTTCCTTAAACCGTGGGGTCCTCTCAAGCTGAGCATGGGGTCGCATTCTTCCTCAAGGGGGTGGGGGAAGGTGACTGGCAATCATGCCAGCTTGGCTTCCAGGCCAGAGAGGGTGGTGTTCAAATCGCAACTCTGGCTTCTCCAGCTGTGTAGTTTGGGGCCCATTACTGAGCCTCTCTGACTTTCAGACTACTTACTATAGAAAACGTCATGTCCCTTGCAACGTAAAATGAGACTCCTACAGCCCATCTTGATGATACAGGGGATGCCAAGGTTCTGGGATTTTATAAAGCTTGTTTTAAAATAGGATTCAGCTATAGGGTTTATTTTTACCAAGTAAGAACATTAAAAAACCCAAATTACGGGTGGCCAAGTAGCTCAGTTGGTTACAGCACGGTGTTATAACACCAAGGTCAAGGGTTTGGATCCCCAGATTGAATAGCCGTGAAAAAAACCAAAACCAAAACCCAAATCATCTATCAATTCATAAGAGAAGGGGCATTCTAATACCAAGACTGCAAGAAGAAAGAATGGATTCCTAAAACAAAGGAGAGTCTTTTCCAAGAAAGGACCTTTGGCTTCTTTATACTAACATACCCCCAAATGACCACATGATAAATGGGATCTATGTTTAAAAACCTCCAGTGGTGAACATATTCTCAGTAAGATTTAATTCTATGAGATTGCCCTGAATGTATTAGTGTTTTAGAAAAGCTTGATGAAGACTCACTGTTTATACTGACAATGTAACACAGAAGAGAGCTCTCATGTTCACTTGCTTATGACATGTTTTTAATCAAAGCTATCTCCCAGGTCTAATTTTAAATGGGTATGTGGAGAAAATTGGAGGCTTCACTCTGATGCCATTTTTCTTCAACTGCAATATCTGGATAGTGAAGAGACCCCAGCCCAGGCTCTTCCCTTCTCCCATCAGGGTCAGGTGGTAGGCAGGGTGGCTCCTTGCTGGTAAGTTCTGCAGGAGGGGGTGGTGGGCAGGCCATTTTCACTGGGGCATCAGAGCCCCAGTATCCAGACAGGTGAGGGAGGCCAGGAGGTTATGAAAGCAACACCACAGGCTGAGGGGGTTTGAGGTGGAAGAGACCATAAAGACGCTTCATTTATTTACCAGAAAATTAAGGCCCAGAAAGGCTAGGGCACTTTCCCTAAGTCACACAGCACATCAACTGCAGGAGCAGGATTAGACCTCAGGTCCGAGCTCTAAACCTGGGGCTCTGGACATGATCCTACACTGTCTTCAACTCCAGCCCACAGTGGAGAAAACGGAATCCAGAGCAGTTCAGAAAGTTGCCCACATCAGGGCTTCTCAGGAGGAGCCCCTGGATTCCAGCCGAGGGCCAGTTCCATTTCTTTCCTGCTCTAACTGCCTCTTTGGATTCCACAGGCCATCCCTGGGCTGTCAGTCTGGCTGGGGCTCTGGGCTCCATTCTCAGTGGAGGAGACCGACTGCCATCCTCCATGGCTTTGCCCTGGACCTACCTTCAGGGCTGTGAGCAGCTCTGGAGAAACGATGGGAGCTAAGCGAGCCCCGACAGTTGGGAAGAGGCATTCTCCACCATGTAGTTGCCAACTCCTTGGCCAGCAGGAGAACCATCGGGGCGCTCATCCCCCTCAAAACTGCATGGCTTCCCTTTTAAGAGAGATACTGAAATGTACAGACCAGACCGCAAATGCCTCCCCAAACAGATCTTTATATAAATGTAGGCAAGAACACAAATGAATGCTCCGTGGACAGATTGCCTTATAAATACAGGTCTTTTACTGGTGTCTGAAATTGCGTTGCAAATACAAGTTTGACCCTCCAAGGGCCGGTCAGTTGGCTCAGTTGGTTAGAGCACGTTCAGATCCCCTCACAGACCAGCTGCAAAAAAAAAAATAAGGAACTTATAAATTTGGCTCTCCAAACATATGTAAAATGATCTGTTTGAGCATATGCATATTTAGTAGGGGGAGGGGGTTCACTCACAGCTGTTACCAAACTGAAAAGGAGTCACAGGTAAAGCTGACTGGTGGAGATAGAGGAGAGGGGCAGAGCTGAGGTGCACTGGTGATGTAGTCCGTGTACTGAGTCCCTTTTCTGTGCTGGACACGGTACCTAGACATATCAACCACCCTATGAGGCAGGTGTTGTCATTCCCATGTGAGCGGTGGGACCTGGAGCTCAGGGAAATGAGGTGTGTTGCTGAAGCCACACAGGTAATAAGGAAGACGGGTGGGAAGGAAGTAGGCTGCCTGATCCCAAAGCCATGTTCTTAGGCTGTAGAACAGATGACATCACACGGGGGAGACTTGGAGCCTGGGCCAGGTCTTGCAACAGACACTGGGGGAAAACACAGTTTGTTTTGTTCAGGGTGCATGTTCTGAATTTGGATTGCATAACTTTAGCTGAGCCACATTTCCCAGAACTCCCTTCCCTGCAGAGTTCTGGGTTAGCAGGGCCCAGAGAGGTGTGTGAGATGTGAGGAAGCAGCAGCCACATTCTTTTTACACTGGGGAGGTCGGAGCTGGCACGAGATTTGTTTGTGGCTCAGGCATGTCATCCCGGATCTGCTGGCTCCCCTCGCTGGTCTGAACCTGCTGGATCTCTCTGTTCAGCTTCTCCAACCCTTGGGCCAGGTATGTGTTTAGTTCTGTAAGTAAAGGGAGCCAGTTTCTCCTGCAGGATGCACCAGCAGCAAGGCTGGGGGCTGAAAGTGTTGGCACACACGTGGTTCTAGTTCATCCCCCGTGGCTTCCGCTCATCCTCCCAGGTTCCAATGTGTCCTTGCTCCTCCCACTTCATGCCCATCTTCCCTTTCAGGCTGTCTGCCCTGCTAACTTCAGGCCATAGTACCAGACACAGAAGAGACAGCCTCCCATAAAGTGCTAAGCCGACTCTCACATCTGCACAAGGTCTAGCGCCTACAATAAATGTATTTTTGTATACTGAGTACTCCTGCCTCTTCGCCTAAACTCCCTGATGGATACAGAATTTGGTAACAAAAGTGGTTCCCAAGGAACAGAGGCCAAAGGATGAGCTTTCTGAATTCCTTCTGGGTCCTCTGGAATTGGTTTTCTTATCTGATTAGACTTAAAGGCATCGATGCCTGGTTTTTAGTGGTAGAGGCAGCATTGATTGTCCAGGCTTGCAGGGATAAAACAGCTACTTCAATGATCGCCTCTATACACACACCCCTATTTGAGTGCCTTGTCTTCACAGACTTTGAGTGACCAAGTAAGTAGTTGATGCCATAGAACATTTTAGTGGACATAATAACTATTATGGGGTTGGAGAACTTAGAAAAAGAAAACACTGAGCTCTAAGCTTTAAATTCTCACTCAAGATCCTCATAAAGGGAATTGAATGCTTCTTTGCCTACCCGTGCAGAAAAGAGATGCCTGTTAGAGACAGTGGAGCAATGCAGACTTAAGTGGTGACTACAATTGTAGCTGCTGTGGTTTTGTTGCTAGAGCAAATCAACACATTCCCCTGGTACCTGTTTTGCAACTATTCAGCTGCAGAATGACTTTTTCTCCATACCTATTAATAAAACCACCTAAAGCATTTGCTTTCAGCTTGCAGGGCCAGTTCTACACCTTCCCTTTCCCACTGCAGGACTACATCAACTCTCCAGTCCTGTGTCATGATCTAGTCCAGAGGGACCTTGATCGTCTCCACTCCACAGGACATCACACTGGTCTGTTTCATTGGTGACATTGTGCTGCTTGGACCTGGTGGTCAGGAAGAAGCAACTACTTCAGACTCAATTGTACGACAAATGTGTGCCTTGGAAGGGAGGGGGTAGAAAAAATCACACAAAAATTCAGCAAAAATAGACTGTATTAATCTGTCTTCTGTTGCCTATAACAGGATACATAAAACTGGGCAATTTATAAAGAAACAGAATTTGTTTCTTAAAGTTTTGAAGTCTGGGAGTCCAAGATCCAGGGAACACATGTGGTGAGGGCCTTCTTTGTGGTGGGAACTCTGTGGAGTCCTGTGGTGGCCAGATATCCCATGGCAGGAAGGGCAAGAACTCTCCAACGTGCTCACTTGCTTTTCTTATAAAGCCATGAGAACCACTCCCTGATAAACCTTTAACCCATGAGTGGACTAACTCATTCATGCGGGAAGGACCCCTATAATCCAATCACCTCTCACAGGTCCTGCCTTTTGAATACCATAATCAGATTTCCCACCCTCTTAACACTGTCATAATGAGGGCCAAGTTTCCAATACATGAACTTTGGGGAGACACATTCAACCCACAGCGGGGTCGTATGGTCTGGGGCATGTTGAGATATCCCTTTCAAGAGGTAAGACAAGCGACAGAATCTGGCCCTCCCATCTGTTAAGAAGGGAGCCCCCGCCTTGTGGGCCCTTTGGATTTTGCAGACATGTAGCTCATTTGGTTGGGCTTCTTCAACCCGTTTACCAAATCACCTGAGTTAGCTGCCAGCAGAGCAGGGCCCAGGACAAGGGAAGGCTCTGCAAGTGCACACCAGCTGCTCTGTCTGCCACTTGGGCTGTATGACCCAGCAGATGCAGTGGCACTGAAGTGTGTGCAGTAGAGATGCCACATGGAAGCTTCAGCAGGCCTCTGGATAAAGCATGGGGCTCACCCTGAGGATTTGGAAGCACAGCCATGCCATCAGCTGCAGGATGGTTCTTTGCAGAAACAGCATCTGGCTTGCTAATGGGCCTTTGTAAAGACTGAATGCTTGATCTTGGATTACCAAGTTATCACGAGACCTAAGTT